ACCGCTGTGCAAACCGAAGGCCCTGCCCTGTGTTATTATGATTGTGCCAATGTGGTTCATTTAATGAATCTAGGAGCTCCCGACGGCGTCAGCGCCAGGCGTCAGTATGCTGGCCAGATCATTCAAGCTAGGCACTACTTTGGCACCAACCTAGTCTCCTTAGATAAGGTTGAGGCCCACAAAGATGCTGACGAGGAAGGGCTCTCCTCGCATGAGAGATTCGTGCGAAGAGGGAACTTCTTCGCTGACGTCTACGCGAAGGAGGGTGCAAAGCAGCACCCTTCCATGTCCCCAACGGAGCAGGAGGCCCTCGATCATCAGATTCTAGTATCAAGGGCGATCTTGCTTGCGGGAGCGGAGCTCTTGCCACTTTGGCCGAAGTTGGAGTTTCGAGGTCTGTTGCGCGGCACTCCGCCGCTCGACTCGAAGGCTCCCCTTTTAGAGCTCGTCCACGACTGGTCCCAACAAGGTTCCTCCTGGCGGTGCCGTGTGTGCCTTCTCGGTTCCCGTGCGAAGGCTAGGCCGCTGGGAGGAACGTGCCCTGGGCAATCCCGTTTGGACCAGGGACTGTTGGAGAGATTAGGTCATCGAGTCATTGCCTTCCCTTGCAGTGACAATGGCCACCTGTATTTGTGCACGTCGTGCAAGTTTTATTCTAGCGGTGAAAAAGGTCCTGGGTTTGTCCCGCAAGTGCGGGCCCCCCACGGAGACAGGTTTCAGAAACTTGAGACGGCTGCGTAAAGGACTGCACCCCGATAAGAGGGGTATCTCGGTCGGTATCGACTAATTCATCCCGCTATTATAATTACAAATAATTTGTTTGCCCTCAGTGCGCCTCTGGCTGTTGGAGCAAGCTGTCACTTTCAGAGGCATGAATGTTGCATTCAAAAAAAAAACACCCCCCCTCTTCGAGGGGGGGGGAGGGGGGGTTCGGAACCTCCCCCCCCTTAAGGGGGGGAGGGGGGGGGGTCGAAAATCTCATCCCCCCTCTACAGGGGGGGAGAGGGGGGGTTCTGCGAGCACCCCCCCCCCTTTCAATTACAGGGTGATCCAGTGGCGCGCTCTCCATCTTTGATGCTGCGGCTCCAGACGTGTTAGCAGGGCGTGCCTGGCGTTTCGCCTGAGACTTCCTCACCGTTTATGATCCTGCAACTTGAACTTAGCAACAGCTTCATAGATGGAGGGCGGATCATGGAATGCGGGTCCTTTTCAACATGTTGCTATCGTCTTAGCGCCGCACCCATTCGTCATACAAGAGTGCAGCAGCTTCAAGGATGAAGGACGTGCCATTTCCAAAAAGTGGCTCGCAATTGCGCCGCGCACATTTCGTCATAAAAGATTGCAGCAGCTTCAAAGATGGAGGGCGATCCTTTTCAGAATTTATCTCTCGCGGCAGCGCAGCACACATTCATCTTCAAAGTTCGCAACAGAGTAAGGATGGAGGGCGGATCCTTTTCAAATTGTGACCCTCGCAGTAGCGCCGCGCACATCCATCTTAAAAGTGCGTAACATGTTAAAAGGCTCGTGGGACTGCAGTCCCAGGAATGGCTTCCTGGCACGATTTAGGATTGTGCCAGGACGCCACTGATGACAGCACAACCCACCCCCACCCTCGCCAGGATCCCCAACCACGACCTGGTGATCCAGGGGTTCCTGGCTGGGGGTGCGTTGGGGGGTTATTGGAGGCCAAAAAACTACCCCCAGCCCCAGCCAGAACACCCTGGATCACCAAGTCGGGCGTTGGGGTCCTGGGGGGGTTGTGTTGTCTTCAGCAACAGCCATGTTGACACGCCGTATTGAGAAATTCCCGGAAAAAACATTCTAGTACGATTTAGGATTGCCAGGCCGCAGCAATTATGTTGACTCGCGGCGTTGAAGTCCCAGGAAGTGTGTTTTGGCACGATTGATGATTCTCAGACCGGTGTCTTTCCATGCGGCACTTGCCGCAATGAAAATCCGCCGACCCTGTCGGCGTGTGCGAGAGGCTGTTTCGTTTGGCTCGTCGTCGTCGTCGTCGCCGTCGCCGCTCCCTCACTTTCCTTGGGCACTCCGCCTTCTAGGGGGCAAACAAACCTACCTCGCTTTTGACCACAGTCACTTCCAAGAGATACCAAGCGATGCCACACTACGGCCTGCACTGGTTATGCCGCTTGACGAGGAGGCGCGTGGCATGACTTGGTTTCGCCTGGAAGCGAAAGCGGGGTAGGTAATTCAGGCTCTGACCTTCAGCGAACCAGCCAAAGCGAAACAGCCTAAGCGAAATTGAGCAGCATCGCAGTGAGCCGAATGGAAGCCCCTTCCCTTTGATCCCTCTCCTGCCCCGGGGGGATGTGGTCCCGGGGGGGGTCCCGGGGGAGGTCCTGGGGGGGTCCCGGTAGGGTTAAGTCGCGCCTGCCCCCCCTTCAGGGGGATCTTGGACGAAAAATTATAAAATGCTCCAAAAATACCCAAAAGATGCCCAAAAATTATCAGAAAATTGTCCCCAGACTATTGTTTCACTATTTTTGAATATTCCCCCTGTAGAGGGACAGGCCCGACTTAACGGTAGGGCAGGGGGTCCCAGGGGAGGTCCCGGGTCAGAATACATCCCACGGAGGGTGCCGGGGCCCAAGAAGCCCCCATGAGGTCCCCAGGCGCCCTCAAGGAACCGCCCCAGGCGGCTCCCAAAAGGCTCCCCAGATACCCCCAAAACTTCGTGGGGGTTCTTGGGTACCTCTCGGGGGGCCTCGTTTAGCCTCTTGGGCACTCTTGGGAGCGTCTGGTGCCGACCTTCTCGAATGCCTCTTCCATCGTGGGGGTCGTCGTCCAGGGTCGGCGGCACCGTCTGTAAGGCCTTAGCAAGAACTTCTTGTAGGGACCTGTGAACTGGGTACTTGTATGACCGGTTTATTGTAACATCGTTGATGCGTCTTGAGTTTGCACTGGTCCGCCTCCTCCTCCTCATCCTCCTCCTCATCATCATCAGCATCATCCTCATCATCCTCATCATCCTCATCATCAGCCATCGTCATCATCATCAGCAGCATCAGCATCAGCATCCATCATCATCATCATCATCATCATCATCATCATCATCATCATCATCATCATCATCATCATCATCATCATCATCATCATCATCATCATCATCATCATCATCATCATCATCATCATCATCATCATCATCATCATCATCATCATCATCATCATCATCATCATCATCATCACACATCAGAATCATCATCATCACCACCATCATTATTATCATCATCATCATCATCATCAGCATCATCATCATCATCATCAGCATCAGCATCATCATCATCATCATCATCATCATCATCATCATCATCATCATCATCATCATCATCATCATCATCATCATCATCATTGTCCCTGTTCCTCCTCCCCGTCCTCATCTGCCTCCTCCGTCCCTCCCTCGCTCCTCCCTCATCCGTCCCTCCCTCCTCCCTCACCCGTCCCTCCCTCCGTCGCTCCATCCGTCCCTCCCTCCGTCCCCCCTCCGTCCCTGGTCCCTGCCTCCTCCTCCTCCTCCTTCTCCTGCTCCTCCTCCTCCTCCTCCTTCTCCTCCTCCTCCTCCTGCTCCTCCTCCTCTCTCCCCTCCTCCTCCTCCTCCTCCTCTCCTCCTCCTCCTCCTCCTCCTCTTCCTCCCCCCCCTCCCTCCCCCCCTCCCCATCCCCTCCTCCTCCTCCGCCCCCTCCTCCTCCTCATCATCATCATCATCACCACCACCACCACCACCATCATCACATCATCATCATCATCATCATCAGCACATCATCATCACATCAGCAGCATCATCATCAGCATCATCAACATCATCATCATCAGCAGCAGCATCATCCTCATCTCTCCTCCTCATCATCCTCCTCCTCCTCCTCATCCTCATCCTACTCCCTAGTCAGCCTTCCTCTTCCTCCTCCTCATCCTCCTCCTCGTCCTCCTCCTCCTCCACCTCCTCCTCATCATCCTCATCCTCATCCTCCTCCCCCAGCTCCTCATCCTCCCTGCATCCCTCCCTCCCTCCCTCTCTCCATCCATCCATCCTCCTCTCTCCTTTTCCTCCCCCCTGCTCCCTTCCTGCCTCCCTAGCCCCCTCTCTGGGACGCCGAGCATGACGAAAGCCGTGCAGGCAGTCTGTGGGTGACGGAAATGGCGTTCACGCGGTTCTGTTCTTGGTAGGGCGTCAGCCCAAGCGGGGTGGGTTTAGGGGGGGAAAGGCCGGGTGCAAAGTCAATCGCCCTCCAGGGGCCCAACACGGCCGAAGTGATGCCCCATACGGCCCAAGATGCGCCCAAGAGGCCCCCAAGAAGGCCCAAGAGGGGTCCAAGAGGGCTCCAAGACGGCTCAGCGCGCCCCAAGAAAGCCCAGGCCCCTAAGAGCGTTCCAAGATGGCTTTCGATGGCCTCAAAAAGGCCCAGGAGGGCCCCAAGAAGGTCCAAGAGGCCCCGAAGAGGACTGCACAAGAGGGCCCCAAGAGGCCCCAAGGAAAGCTCCAAGACGCCCCAAGACGGTTCACAAGGGACCCAGGACTGCCCAAGAGGGCCCCAAGAGGGCCCAACAAGGCCCCAACAGGAGCCCCAAGAAGGCCCGTAGACGCCAAACTCATAACACCAGAACTCACATCGACCCAAAACGGCCCAAAAGGGCCCCAAGAAGACCCTCAAGAAGCCCCAGAGACGCCAAGTGACACCATGGCTCCCAACAGTGAGCAGTGACGTGACAAGCTTTTAACACCAAGGCTCCCCAGAGCGCGGTGGCGTAAAAAGCTCTGAACAGCAAGGCTCCCAAGAGCGAGCGGCAACGTAAAGGTCTCTGAAAACCAGAACTCCCAACAGAGGGCGGCGACGTCACAAGCTCTGAACTCCAAGGCTCCCAAGAGCGAAGGGTGCCATGAGCCATCTCGGGCAAATTCCTGAAGCGCTCTTTCCGTTCCCGTGCCGGCCCAGGTCTCCGGGCGTGCGGATTCGAGAGCCACCCTAGGCGGGCCCCCCGCTCGCCGCACCGACCACGATGGCCGCCAGCCCCACGAAGAACGGCACCTGGCGGCGCGCACAAGGGGGAGGGGGACGTAAAACAGGGCTAGGATCGGGATAAATCGCTCCAGAGCGTTCCGGAGCGCTCTCAGAGCGTTCCAGAACGCTCTGGAGCGGCCGCGGCGCCCAATACATCCTCCAAACCCGCCGATTCTCAGAGACTTCGAGTTATCCCGATCCGATTTTGTCCCGATTTTCGTGTCGTTTTAGGACGGGGGCAGGCATCTTAGAAGGAGGCTGCTTTCCAGAAGGCGCCGGCCTTACATCTGCCGGGAAGGCCCGCGCCGTCTGAGAAGCCACCTCCTCCCGAGCAGCCCCCCCCCCTCCCCCATGCCCCCCTCCGCGCGCGGCCGAGGCACCGGGCATAGCAGGCACCCCATGACTCTCAGGAAGGTGTTGTGCTCCTCGGGGGGAGGAGGAGGAGGAGGAGGAGGAGGAGGAGGAGGAGGAGGAGGAGGAGGAGGAGGAGGAGGAGGAGGAGGAGGAGGAGGGGGAGGAGGAGAAGGAGGGGGGAGAGGAGGAGGACGAGGGGGAGGAGGGGAAGGAGGGGGAAGGAGGAGGAGGGATGAGGAGGAGGAGGAGACCCTGGGAGGGGTCCAGGGAGCACCACCTGGCGCGCAGACGAGGCGCACCACATGCCTGTGCCTCCGAATCGTCAGCCGCCCGAGCCTCGCGAGACTCGCTTGCACGCGCGGATCGGCTCCGCAAATGGCCCTGCCAGTGTCACATCCTCCTCCTCCTCATCCTCCTCCTCCTCCTCCTCCGCCTCCTCCTCCTCCTCCTCGTCCTCCTCCTCCTCCTCCTCCTCCTCCTCCTCCTCCTCCTCCTCCTCCTCCTCCTCCGCACCCTCGTCCTGCGCAACCGCCGCCTCCTTCAGACGAAGGCAAGATGATGATAGGCTCAGATCGAGACCAACCCGGAATCTCGGAGAGCCAGCGGGCCAGGAGAGCGCATCGGGCGCCGCGGCCGCTTCCGAGCGCTGCTGCTCTGAGAGCACTCCAGGGAAAGCTCTTGGAGCGGATTCGCCCCATCCTACAGGATTCGGCCTGACCTCAGGAACGGAACATAAGGAACGAAGCCCCTTTTCTTCCAAGTAAGTCTACGAAGTCCGAAGGAACACCAGGGAGGCTCGCCGCCAAAGCGGTAGCGAAACGCATGCGAACCGAAGGAACGACCGAGCCCCTTTTGAAAAGATAGTGTTCCTTATTCAAGCCGGACCCTGTACCCCCTGGCATGGACAAGTCATGAAACTCTCGCGTGGTCCATCCCCCTGCGATCCTCAATTTCAATGCTCACGCAGGGGCATCGTCGGCCGCCGCTTCCACAACGCTGAGATCGGGGGCCCGGGATGGGAGGGGGGGGGGCAATCCGAAAAGCGCGGCTGGCCCAGAAGGAATGTAGCGCCTGCCTGGCTCCTGCCTCTTTCTGGGGCAATCCTTCGCGTTCCAGTCCGGATTCCAGATGCCCGTGGAGAGCGTGCAGGCGAGGAACACAAATGCCACGCCCTTGCCGGTGACCTCAACAGCAGCAGCAGCAGCAGCAGCAGCAGCAGCAGCAGCAGCAGCAGCAGAGGAAGAGAGAGGAAATATCTAGGTTTGGGGGTGTTTTTGGGCATGCATCCAGTGGCCTCGAGGCGGAGCAGGAGGCGGAGGGAGGAGTCTCGAGCGGAAATTGAAGGAAAGGCAAGAGGGGGAAGGGAGATCGTGAGGGGAAGCAGATGTCGAGGGACGGGAAGGGGGGAGAGGCGGGGAGATGGAGTGAGAGCGGAAAGGGAGAGCATGGGAGAAGGAGAAGGAACACAGATTGGGAAGAAGGCGGGGAGCGGAACAGAAGAGAGGGGTGATAGAAGGAGAAAAGAAGAGGGGGAGAGGGAAGCGAGGGGAGGGAAGAGGACGGAATACGCCAGCACAGCAGCAGGGAGAGCGAGGTGGGCATGCGGACGGGGGCAGAAGAGGGGTGATGATGGTGAGGGATGGGCACGGAGAGGGAGATGGAAGGAAAGTTTGTCCTAGTAAGCTTATTTTCTGGTGGCAGGAAAAACGAGAGAGAGAGAGAGCGAGAGAGCTATAGAGAGAGCGAGAGAGAAAGAGAGAGAGAGAGAGAGAGATATGAAAAAGGGGCGGGAACCGAGGGAGAAAGGCAAACCGAGGTGCGGTTGCGCCATATCTGACAGTCGACCCTTCCCGCCCATCCCTTCCCACTGCGCTGTTTTTCGAAGGCGAGGAAGTGGACCAACAGGAGCAGGACTACGAGACCAGGGAAAGGCAGGCTGACCAGGGGAAGACGGGTGGCGGGAAAAGGAGCGGGGCGACAACGGTGAGGGAACACTCGGGTCTAGAAGCGTGGCCCGCGTTGGGGCAGGAACGCCATCATGACCGACGGGAGCAAAGCGCCGCTCCTGAAGTGAGGCACACCCTGCAGCGGGAATGCCGTTTTGGAACACCGAAAACGACCCGGATGTGCAGCCAGCGTGGACCCCCACAGTGTGTTTCTAGCAATCTACGTGGTACAAGCTACGGTCTGCAACGAACTTCTGTTCGCAGTGAGCTGTCCACTCCACTGCGTCAACAATCATCCCACCCGCCCACCCGCAAACTAGTTTGCAAAGCCCATGCGGCGGCGATTGCGACGAGTGTTTAAAGTTGGCTGGTGCATCTCTGCGGCCGCGCTAGCCCGCGCATGCATACGCGCGCAGCGGCCTGATGGTTTGGCGATACCGACGCGGCCGCGGTGGCGTTGACCGGCGGGAACCCAATGGGCACTTAAATGCGAGTCGGCGGTTTGGGCGGGCGCACTATCATGGCAACGTCGACACCGGTAGACGCGATGATGATGGTAGCGATGCTGGCGAAGATGATAACAACGACGGCGGCAAGGCCAATGACGGCGCCAAGGCTGATCACGCCAGCGACGATGACGGCGCCTTCGCGTCAGTGATGGAGAGAGTTCAACATGCGCGCGCGGCCGACGCGCGAGTGGCCCGCGTGGTTTTCTTGAACTCGGATCGGGCCCCCCCCCCCCCAGCACGCGCGCAAGGCCGCGCGAATGATTTCGACGTGCGACGCGAGGGGCCCTTCTGGCCGAATTTGATGACAGCGTTGAAGAACCAATGGTTGTCTGAAGAATTCGCAGGATCGCGCAACGCAGGCTTGGTTTGACAACTTAGTTTGCAAAACCATGTGTTCCTTATATGTTTTCGGGGCACTAGATTTTGAAATCCTTACGAAACCAAAGGTTTTGAAACAGTGCGGCATGCGAGCGCGACGACGCGCGCGCGTGCACTTCGTCCCATGTGTTGCAACGGGTTCTTGCGACAGCACGCGCGCAACGGCGTTCGAACGATTCCGACATGCGCGCGCGCAAGGCCCGTTTGGTAGCAGGGTATGACAACTGGAAAACCGATGGTGTCGTAAGAATTCGCAAGAACGCGGGCGCAGGCTTGTGAAGGAAAATCCATGTTGCGAGACCACGTAATTGTTTATACGTTTTCAAGACACTCGATTTTGAATTCCTTACGACACGCAAGGTGTTTGACGGATTTCGGCATGCGCTCGCCACGGCGCGCCCGCGCGCGCGTGCACTTCGTCCCACTGTTGCACGGGATTCCTGCAAACTAATGAGTTTTGATAAACGAGTGCGCACGCACAATATGTTTTGCGACGGGCGCGGGGGATATCGGTTTCGCTGGGATGAAACGAACTCATCTTGAGGATGGACGACGGCTCAGAATCACGCAAATTGCAACACGCAAAGGGGGCACGTTCAGTCGAGGGATGAGGGGGAGATCCTAGTACTCTTTTAGACATGCCATTCACCGATGCTCTCAGTGAGTTGTCAACTCCTTTGCTCGCGCAATTTTCCCACCCACCCGCCCGCAACTTGGTTTGCCAAACCATGCGACGGCGATTGCGTTGAGTCCCCGGCGTTGGTTGGAGCATCTTTGCGGCCGCGCTAGTCCGCGCATGCTCGCGCGCGCAGCGGCCGAGATGCGCGGCGCGGCCGGCGCGGCCGCGATGGCGCTGACCGCTGGGCACTTCCCAGCGGGCACTGCAGTGCGAGTCGGTGACTTGGGCGGGCGCGGCACCATGGCGACGCTGACAGCGGTGGACGCGATGATGAGAATAGCGAGGATGGCGACGATGGCGGCGATGACGACGGCAAGGCCGACGATGGCGCCGATGTTGATCACGCCGCCGATAACAATTGCGATGTCCTCGCGTCGGCGATGAAGGTTGGAAGGAGTTCGACGCGCGCGCGGCCGACGCGCGCGAGTGGCCCGCGCGGCTTTATGAAACGCGGATCACGCACGAGCACGAGGGCGCTCGGATGAGGTAGACGGGCGGAGCGAAAGGCCCGCTCGGCAGAATGCGACGACAAGGTTGGCAAGGCGCGCGCGCGGGCTTTTTTTGAAGACTGACGCTGCGAAATCATTTGTCTTTTGCATGTGTTCGGGGCACTCGTTGTTGGAATCCTTGCGAAACCTAAGGTTTTGCACTTCGCTCCGTTTCTGCGCAAGGGCATCTCGCGGCAGCACGCGCGCACGCGCGTTCGTGCGGTTCCGACATGCGCGCGCGAGAGGCCCACTTGGTCGCATGTTATGGAAACGTTGAAACCCAATGTTTTCGCTTCAAGAACCTGCAAGAGCGCGAGCGCATGCTTTGCTTTAAAAGTACTTGTTGCGAAACCAGTTGTTCAGATGCGTTCGCGACGCTCGACTTCGAAATCCGCGCGAGAACAGAAAAGGTGTTTGAAAGATTGCTGCATGCGCGCGCGACGATGCGCGCGAGCGCACTTTGTCCCATTTGTTGCGTGGGACTGTTTGAAACTGGTGACTTCTGACGAGTGCGCGCGAATCGCATTTTTCCGCAGAGGCTGAGGGGGGGTGCTGGCCTGCCTGGGACGGTATGAATTCATATCCAGGATGGACGATGGGGCAGAATCAATTTAAAATGGCATGGGGATCACAATACTGCGTAGCAATATGTGTTGCGCAATACATGCGGCGCAATCTACGCGGCGCCATCCACCCTGCCGAATTCCACGTTGTCAACTCCACTGCTCGCGCAATCGCCCCACCCACCCATCCGCAACTTGACTTGCCAAACCCACGCGGCGGCGATTGCGATGGCGACTCGGCGGCGGTTGGCGCGTCGCCGCGGCCGCTAGCGCGCGCAGGCTCGCGCGTAGAGCGGCCGGCCAGTCTGGCGCGACCGACGCGGCCGCGGTGGCGATGACCGCCGGGGACTCCCCGAAACGTCTCGCATGCCCTGCCGACGCGCGGACGCGCCCGCACCAGTTTGCCACTCGGGCAGGCGCGGCATCACGGCGACGACGACAAGGGCATGCGCCCCGCCGATTGCAGCTGCGCTGGCGACGACGACGACGACGACGACAACGGCCAGGCCAATGATGGCGCCGATGCCGAGCACAACGACGACGATGACGGTGACCACGAAACGGCGATGGAACCTGCGGAAGGATTTTTGATATGCGCGCCCGGTAGATGGGCGCGAGCGGCCTGAGCGGTGCTAGTTAACAGGGATCTTGCCCCCCCAGCGCGCTGGCAGGGGCGTTCGAAGGAGTTCAACACGCGCGCGCGAGGCGCCAGTTTGGTAGCAGCCGGTGACAATGTTGAAAACTGATCGTTCCGCAAGAATTCGCAAGAGCGCGCGCGCATACTTGGTTGAACAACCAGTTTGCAAAACCAAGCGTTTGCATGTTCTCGGGGCACCCGGTTCATATCTGCGCGAAACCAAAACTGTTGCGAGATTCTGGAATGCGCTCTCGAGGACGCACGCGCACTTCGCCCCGTTCCCGGCGCGAGGAGTTCTCGATTGATGACTCGTCATAGACGACTGCGCGCGCATCATGATTTCTCGCAGACGGTAAAGGGGCGGCTGGATGGCGGCTGGGATGGGCCGCGGCAGAATATTGAATAAGTTACACATCTCCAGGGGGGCGGCCAGCCCCGCCCTCGGGGGCGGTGGCGCGGGCGACTTCCTTCTCAGACACTTTTTTTTCTGTGGCGCAACATGCGTTGCACAATCTACGGCGCGCAACGCACCCAGCCGAACTTGAGTTACAAACTCCACTGCTCGCCGAATCGCCCCACTCACCCATCCGCAGCTTGACTGGATAAACCCACGCGGCGGCGATGGCGATGACTGCTCGTCGATGGCTGGGGCCCGGCCGCGGCCTTGCAATCGCGCTGGCTCGCGCAACGAGGGGCCAGCTAGTCTGGCGCGACTGGCGCGGCCGCGGTAGCGCTGGCCGCTGGGGACTTGCCAGCGCGTCTCGCGAGCCTTCTGACGCGCGGGCACTCCACCGCGAGTTGGCGACTCGGGCTGGCACGGCATCGCGGCGACGACGACAAAGGCACGCGCGACGCTGATTGCAGCGACGCTAGCGACAACGACGACGACGACGACGTCGAGGCCAGGGACGGCGCCCATGCTGATCACGCCGACGACGATGGCACCCACGACGCGGCCATGAAAGTCGCGTAGAGATTTCGACATGCGCGCGCGGCCGACGAGGGCGAGTGGCCCGCGCGGCACTATTTGACCCCCACCTGGCGCGCGGGCAGACGCGCTCGGGCGATTGCAACGCGCGTGCGCGCGAGAGGCCGCGATGGCATTTCGCAAGCATAAGCGAGGGCGCGCGCGCAAGCTCTTTGGTAACGCCATGTTGCGCAACCAGAATTGTTCCCCAACCCCTGCGTCGGGCTCTCGTGTAAGAAAAGCACCGCGGTCGCGCGCCCCCCCACCTGCCTCCCTCCTCCTCCCCCCATCCGACCCGCCTGCTACTCGGCCTGCTACCGCGCGCGCCGCGACCTGCGAAACTGTCGACACTTCGAAGGCCGCCTGGGCGCCCGGCGGACTGACGCGCCACGCGGATTCAGATTGAACCTCGCCGTCCCCGAGGAGCTGCGACCCGCGAAACCGTCGCCGCGTTCGAGAGCTGCCGGGGGGGCCAGCGGAGTGACGCGCCATGCAGATTCAGACAAGACCTGGCCACTCTTGGGGCGCTGCGACCGGCGAAATTGTCGTCGCCTCCGATCGCAGCTGGGGGTCAGCGGGGCGACGCGCTCCGTAGATGCAGCTTCGACCTCGCCATCCATTGGGGGGCGGCTCCGACCTGTGAAACCGTCGCGACTTGCGTGGGCGGCCGGCGGGCCCACCGGGGTGACGCGCGACGCAGCTCCAGAGTAGACCTCGCCGCCCCTGGGAGACGCGACCTAACGTTGCTTGGGGGGCCCGGCGGAGTGACGCGAAACGCAGATCCAGAATGCACCTCGCCATCCCTGGGGGGCTGCGATCTGCGAAACTGTCGACGCCTCCCAGGGTTGCTGGCGGGTCCAACGGAAAGACGCGCCACGCAGATTCTGATTAGACCTCGCCGTCCCTAAAGGGCGGCGATCTGCGAAACTGCAGCTGCTAGGGGGTCCAGCGGAGCGACGCGCTTCGCAGATTCAGATCAAACCTCGCCATCCCTGGGGGGCTGTTATCTGCGAAACTGTCACCGCTTTCGAGGGCTGCTGGGGAGTTCAGCGGAGTGGCGCGCCACGCAGATTCAGATCAAACCTCGTCATCCCTGGCTCGGGGGCCTGCGACCTGTGAAAATGTCGCCGCCTTCGAAGGCCGCTGGGGGATCCACCGGAGTGACGCGCTAAGCAAAACCATATGAAACCTCACCATCTCTGAGCGGCTGCGAACTTCAAAACTGTCACCACTCTCGAAGGCAGCTGGGACGTCCAGCTGAGTGACGCGCTTCATATATTCAGATTAGACCTCGCCCTTCCAGAATGGCTGCGAACTCCGAAATGGTCACCAATTTCGAGAGCAGCTGGGCGGGGTCAGCATAGAGCGACGTCCTACACTGACTCATATTAGCCTCGATGTCCTTCCCCGCATGCCGCCGGGAGACCCCGCGGTGCGCCTGCGGGCGTTTAGCTCACGCGTTGCCACATGCTGGAAGGAAACGGGCAACCTGGAGGGCTATTTCGGCCTCGCTCGTGTCTAGCACTTGCTTTGAACGGCTGGCCTTTTCGGAGCGCCAGATTGACATAGCGCGGGCCGCCCTGCTTGCTCAGCGTACCAGTGGAAAATGATGGCCGCCTTCCTTCTTCATCCTGCCTCTTTCGCCGTCGCCCTCTTCCTCCTTCCACCGTGCCGCTGCTGCTGCCGCGTTAACTATTCGGCCCCTCCTCTGTTCATTTTCTGCCCGTCGCTCCTAACTCCCATTTCCTCTTCGAACCTGTGGCGTCAGTCCTCGTTTTTCCGCTGCTGTCGTGTGAATCGCGCAACGCGCGCGCTACCCATATGGTTCCCGCAACAGATGGCGGATCCTGCGTCGCCATCAGCCATCCAATTCTGGGCCTTTCCTTCTTGGATTTGGGTTGGGATGGTCAATATGCACATTAAAACGAACGATGGGATACATGGACTGCACATCCCTAGTTAACGGACACGGATGATTCTGGCCTCGGGAGGGCGGTGGATCCAAAATCCCCATGAGAAGATAACACCCACGTTGCGCAATCGATGTGGAGCCAAAAACACGCGGCGACGAAGAGGCGACAGGGCGGCGACGGCGGCCGCGCAGCCGCCAGACCGCCGTTGCGCCCAGACGACAGTCGGCGACGAGGCGGCGACAGCGGCCGCTTAGACTCCAGACCGGCCGCCAGGCCCAGAAGACGGGCGGCGACGAGGCGGCGACGGGGCGGCGACGGCGGCCACGCAGCAGCCACACCGGCCGCAAAGCCCAATTCTGCAGAAAAACAGATAATATCCTCGACGAGCCCTAATAGCAGTGCGACCGCGGTAACAGAGGGCAGGGGATATCGGCGATGCCTCTTTTACGGGCGGCGCTTCCGGGAGCCCCGCGCCCTGCGCGGGGCCCCGGGGCCCCGTGCCACCCCCAGGAACTCGATGCTCCAGGGCGGTGGGCGGGTTGTTCAAACCGGCCGAGCGGCTGACCCCAAAATGGCAACAGACATCGGGCAAGAGAGGAGGATGCACTTCCGCGCTGGCACACGGGGGCGCCACCTCGACGGGCCCTAATAATTAGCGGTGCGATGGCGGGTGCAAAAGGAAGAGGGGGTAACGGTGATGCCTCGTTTAAAGGCGGCGGTTCCAGGAGCCCTTTGCGCCTCGCCACTCCCAGGAACTCGACGCCCCCGCGTTGGCGACGGGAGCGAGGCGCCAAGAGAGGGGGCAAGGAGCACCGGAGGTGAGGAGGCGGACCACCTCGGGGCTGCCTCGGTCCGGGGAGGAGGCCCGCCCCACCTCGCTCCTCCTCCTCCTCCTCCTCTTCTTCCTCCTCCTCCTCCTCCGCCTCCTCCTCCTCCTCCGCCTCCTCCTCCGCCTCCTCCTCCTCCTCCTCCGCCTCCTCCTCCTCCTCCTCCGCCTCCTCCTCCTCCTCCTCCGCCTCCTCCTCCTCCGCCTCCTCCTCCTCCTCCTCCGCGCCGCGCGCTTGCACGGGGCTGCGAGGCGCGGTCTCAAGCGCCGCCCATCCTCCATTAGGGGGGGGCGGAGGAGAAGGAGGAGGAGGAGGAAGAGGAGGAGGGGAGGAGGATTTCTGCAGATCCCGTCGCCTGGCCCTCGCTGCCCCCGGCCAGCCGAAGGGGCCCCACCACGCGCTTCTTAGAAGGCGGCTGCTTCTCAGAAGGCGCCGGCCTCACATCTGTAGATGAGGCCCGCGCCTTTTGAGAAGCAGCCTCCTTCCAAGAAGCCTTCCCCCCCCTCCCCTCTGCCCCCCCCTGCGCGTGGCCGATGACTTCAGCTGGACTGCAGTGTGCCCGGTGAGAGGCGGGAGGCAAGAGGCGGGGCTCGGGACGCGGGCGCGTGCAGGTGCAGACGTGTTGGAGGGAACTGTCGGGGGCGACGGTGGGCGCGGACAGCCCAGGGGAGAGCGATGCGCGCAGCCAAGGGCGCCGATGGCCCGTGCCTTCGGCGAGCCTCCCGGGCGAGTACGTGTAATTGAAGGGGCCCTGGGACACACTAATAAAGACACACAAATAGAAGGATTCACTATATTTTCCCATATGTTCTGGGTTTTTGTCTTCCCCCCCACTTCCCATATTTTCCCATATTTTCTGGGGAATCGACGATTAATTGTGTCTGTGTGTTTTTTCCCCTCCTGAGTAATGCCCGCCCCTGGGCTATTCGCCCTCATCGTCTCCGCCGAATCTACGCGGGCCAGCGGTGTGGGAACAACTGGATCAAGAGGACACAGAGCCCGCCACCCGCATCAGGATGTTGATGTACTTGCCGATGTACATCTTGAGGTACCTGGTTGCCTTCCGAGCGGCAGGGTCCGATTCCGCCACGACCACAGGGGGAACCGAAACCGCAGTCCAGCGTCATCCGCTCGACACCCCATCCGTCTCTCCCTTCCCCCCCGGCGTCCCTCCCTAGAGGCCTCCCCAATAAGGTCCAAGTTTATGGGGTTGGAGGATCGCGCCGCATCCCAGATACATCGCCGACGCATCGGCGATCCATCAGCGACGTCGGCGACACATCGGCGCCGCTGGCGTGGAGAAAATCGGACTGCACATCGAGCCGCATCGCCGATGCATCGGCGATGCGGCGCGGTCCGTCGACCACCATCTTTTCGGACCACGTTCGGGAGTCCTGAACTCCGTCCCTCCCTTCATGCTCCAGAGGTCTCTCTGGCTTTCGGGTCAGAAATCGGGTCCCCGGCGGCGGTTCGGGAGGAGTCGGGCAGCCCCAGGGGTCTCTCGGCGAGGCACCGCTGGCAGCACAGCACCCCGAGTCTGGAGAAGCTCCAGGCACCGAGGGCAACGTCCGAACACCTCCGACGAGGGTCACACCGGCGAAGGGACACGCCTGCCTCGACTCCCCTCTCCTCGTTCATTCCCTCAGCTCATCCCGCCTCTCCCGAACAGGGGTTCCAGCATCGTCGGTCCGAGACTCCGCGAGCGCCGCCGCCGCCGAATCGCCGCGATGTGGCTTCAGCAGACCTCGGGCGCCCCGAGCCTGCTTCCTTCTGAGCCAGTGAAATCACCCTCATCGTTTCCCCTACGTGCCCTCCCCCTCCCCCTCGTGCCCTCCCCCTCCCCCTCCTGCTCGCCCTCCCCCTCCCCATCTTCGCCTGAACGCTCTGAACTTCAAAGGTCCGGCTCCAAACCAGCGCGCGGTTGGCTTCCCCCGGGACGGACGCGGGCCCCATCGGGTAACCTCGCGAAGAAGCGCGTCAAGACCACCTCCGAAGAGTCGGGCTGCGGGGGCCAAGACACATGCACGTGCAGCTGCAACTACACACCAGCCGCCCAACTGAACATGACGAACGAGCAGCACACACCCATACCCATTTGGGGGAATGTTGGGAGGAGGACTGGCTCTGGGTATGGGTGCGGGCTGTCGGATCCTGGGGGGTGCTTCCTTTCGAGCGGGGACCCCCATCCGACAACACGCACCCATAGCCCCCTCCGTCCCACCTATGGGTATGGGTGCGTGTTGTTCGTTCGTCATGAACAGGTGCTATTCACCTGCACTGCAGACCATCCGCACCAGGTCGCGTCGAGAAGATGTGAAGCAAGCCTGGACCCGTCTGTGTTCGACGTGCCGCCCCACTGGCCTGCCGAGTCCCCCGAACCAAAGCAGGCACGATGTCTGGAACGGGCGCCACAACGTGGGCAAAGAGAGGTACACCAGATAAGAAACCAGCCTGCCAGCAGGTGCCCAACGAAAATGTATCCCCCGATAGCCCCCGGGACCCACAGAAGCTATGGGGCACCTTAGGACACTCAAAGATCGATGATGACTGCGCCCGTGAAGATTCATCATAGAAATATTCCGTATTGCGTCCGTCGACCTTCCCACTGCATGAGCACGCCTTGATCTCACAAGCGCTGTCTCACATCAGCGCGCCTCTAGGGTACTCCAGATTTCGTAATAAAGGGAGGGGGGTCTCCTTTCAGGGGGGTCTCTTCCAGGCTATCTTGGAGGGCCTGGGGGGTCTGGGGACGATGTTTTGGAGGGTTCTCCCACGGGGGAGGTCTGAAACGGCTTGTCTTGGAGGGTCCAGACCCCCTCCCTTTTATTACGAAATCTGGAGTAGGCTTGATTCCTCTCTTGGGGAGCACGTGAAACAAAGCGTGGCAATCGTATCGCATGTGGCCGTACACTCTGACAGGGGTCAAGCGTGCGCGACAATTGAGGAGGCGGAGCACCTCCGGCGGCGTGGCGAAGGGGAGGGGGGAGACGGAGCAGGAGGGAGGAGGAGGAAGAGGGAGAAGGAGGCGCGGGGGCGAAGGAGGAAGAAGGAGGAAGAGGGAGAGAGAGAGAGAGAGAGAAACGGAGGAGAAGGAGAAGAGGGAGAAGGAGGAAGCGGAAAGGGGAGGAGAGGGAGAAGAGAGGCCGAGGAGAGAGGGGGGGCGCGAGCACCCTCGAGGCCGAGCCTGTATCTGCTTGAAGAAGGGCGTGTCGAGGATTGCCATCATGGTACCGAAGATGAGCAGATAGAACCTGTCCAGCCCCCTCCCCCCCGCCCTTCACCCTCAGCCTCGCCCGTTGTGCTTCCCTCTTTCTCTCTCTCTCTCCCTCTCTTTTCCCTCCGTCTCCCTTCCCTTCCACCGCCTTCCCCACTCCCATCTTCAGGGGAACCAACAGGTACCGGTACTGCTTCTCCTGGGGCCTCTCCCGGGGTGCGGTCTGACCCGGATGTCGAGGCGAATCCAGCGGTAGCGACGAGGGCCGCCCAGGAGCTCAGAAAGGGGAAAGCGAGGGAAGGGTAGAGGTCTGGGTACCTTGTCCTCCTCTGAATATCCCCAACATCCTCCGTCCCTCTCCCCTCCACGCCCTCCAGCTCCTGGTCCCCACTCTTGCCATTCTCTCACCACCCGCTCTTCCTGGCCCCACTCGCCCTCCTCTCCCTCCTCCTCCTCGTCCTCCTCCTCCTCCTCCTGCTCCTTTCCCTCCCCCTCCCCCTCCTGCTCGTGGTGTTCGTGGAGGTCATCGTCGTTACGGTTGGCTGCGTCGTGGTCCTCTCGCTGGTGCTGAAGTCCCTCCTTCGCTGGGTGATGACGCTCTGTGGGTTATCGTCTGTGTAGTCGCTGTGCCTCGTCCACTCCTCGCGCCCGTACTGCCTGGCTGAAGTCGCTCGCTGGTCACGGGTGGCCGTCACACCCGCGCGGCAGGGTGCAGACATAACTGGATGTGTCGGACCATCGGGCAACCGTTGCGGCTGCACCGCGCGGTTGCGGCTCCCCGCCAGAGCCCAACGACGTGCTGGTTCCCAAGAACTCCCATATTCCTGCAATACGCCACCGATACTGCAATGCCGAGCAAAGCAATATGATGCCAAGCAATGCCAGACAATGCCGCTCAGACAGGCGTTCCCAACATTGGTGTCGCGCCAGGTTCCCTTCAGCACACAAACTGTGGTTGATGCTTCCGTGACCCGCATAATCAGAATCTACCACTTCGCGAGAGCTGCACACAATAAGGGGCAGGTGTGTTGCAGATCGGGCCGGTCCCTGTCCGCGGCGTACCTTTTCCTGTGCAAGCTCTTCGGCGCCGCCTGCACCCCGGGCCCCGCCCACTCCGGCCGCCTGAGGCCCCGCCTGCCTGTGCCCTGTCTCCCTAGTCAAAGCTGTGCGTAGCCCGCCCAGCTTTTAGCAGAAGAGGTTCGCTCTCGCCTTGCCGACCAAAAAAAAGTGTATATTTCACATCGGGGCGCTCGCCTCAGACTTCCTCCGGCTGTATGACCGGCCGCCGACGACGAGGAAAAAGGTTGCACGGACTGGGGCGCGGCTCCTCTGCGAGGCGGGGCGCTCGCTGGACACGTCGCGCGTGGCCTTTTCTGCTCCTGCGCCGTCGCCGGCCATACGTCCGGCCGGGAGCACGGGCGGCAGCCTCTCTTCACAGCGGTGCTCTCTCGCCCGAGCTGCAAGACCATGGGGGCGCTCGTCTTGTACAGAAGGAGGCTTCCCGCAACGAGAACGGATCACTGTCGAGCCTGTAGTGGGGAGGCTCGCGACGAGCGGGGCGACTTGCGGCAGCGTGGGTGCACCTTGGGTCTACACGTGTCATCCACCTCCTGCTCGTGCGCCTCCTCGCTATCCTTCCCCCGTCTCCTCCTCGTCCTCGTATCCCTCCTCCTCCCTCCTCCTCCTTCTCCTCCTTTTCTCCTCCTTGTGCTCCTGCACCTCCTTCGCTTCGCCTCTCCTCCTCCCCCCCTGGGCTACATCATCAGAAACTCCACGATGTCGCCCTCGAGCAGCAGGAAGATCCCCGCCAGGCACGCCCCGAACATCACGCAGCAGGCCGCTGGAAAGGGGGCACAGGGTGCCGTCTCTCGAGGGAAATGGGAGGACGGGGGAGGAGGAGGAGGAGGAGGAGGAGGAGGAGGAGGAGGAGGAGGAGGAGGAGGAGGGGGAGGGGGAGGAGGAGGAGGAGGAGGGGAGGAGGAGGAGGAGGAGGAGGAGGAGGAGGAGGAGGAGGAGAGCAAGGGGAGGATGGGGGAGGGGGGGCGACGAGAGAAAGAAGAGAGGTACAGGCACAGAAAGCTGGAAAGACACGAGCTTCCAGAGCTCCGCCCAGACCTCTGAGAGTCTGTGCTCTGTCGCCGCGCCGTGCGTCCTCGACGCGCCCAGAGGGACGACGCCGACTCCGCGGCAGACCCGCAGCCGCGCCCTGCGTCCCGCGCCCCGGGTAGACGACGCCGACACCACGGCAGACCCACGGCGGGCCCTGCGCCCCGAGCCCCGAGCCGTGGCCGACCCGCCGCGCCCAGGGCGGAGTTGGCCCCGTCGGTCGCGGCGCCCTCCCCCAGACGCAAGGCCGCGCGTCGGGACCAACCGCGCGGCCACGTGTGCCGTCTCTTCTTTGTCCGTCGGGGAGACGACGGCGTCGTCGTCGTCGGATACGTCGCCGAACTCGTCGTCGAACTCGTCGTCGAAGGCATCACCGCCCAGCTCGGGATCGCAAGGGGCGGCTGAAACGAATTAGCGCGCGCAACCGGCCTTGCGCGCACCTCCTGGCGCTGGAGGGGGCCAACGTCGGCTACTTCACCCCAGCCCCCTCCTCTGGGGCGCGCTGCTCGCCCCGAGGCCGCTCCCCGTCAAAGCCCCCGAGGGGTCCGAGGCGGGCCTCCCCAGAGGCCGAGGGTGCCGGGAAGCCTCCGAGGCCCGAGGCGCTCGAGCCTCTGGAGGGTCTGGGGCCGGGCCCCCCCCCACCCAGACCCCACCCTCCCCTCCCTCCCTCCCTCTCCTCCCTCTCCTCCCTCCCTCCCTCCCCTCCCTCTCCTCCCTCCCTCCCTCCCTCTCCCTCCCTCCCTCTCCTCCCTCCTAGACCTCCCCTCCCTCTCCTCCTCCCCTCCCTCCCTCTCCTCCCTCGTTTTGGGCGCCCGAGTTATCCGGGGTAACTCGGGCCCGGGGCAACTCGGGCTTGGATTCCCGAAAAACGAACCCGAGTTAGCCCTGACCCGAATTATCCCTGATGATGTGGGGCTCTGGACGCCCGAGCTATCCGGGGTAACTCGGGCCCGGGGCAACTCGGGTTCGGATTCCCGAAAAACGAACCCGAGTTAGCCCTGACACGAGTTACCCCTGATGATTCGGGTCTCTGATCGTTCGGCTAAACGCAAGAGTGACACTGGGTAAGAGTAACCTCTGGTGCGCGGCTTCTTGAGGGCCGCAGAGGGACCGGCCTGGGACCCAACACGAGCGCGCAAGACGCTGCTATCGCATCGCGCTCGGCGATTGGGGGACCCGAATGGGCCGGCACCAGAGGTCACTCCGGCGAGGGGTCACTCTTACGTGTAGTCATAGTCGACTCGTCTGCCCACCCTCCCGAGCTCTCTCCCGGCGCTGGGCGGAGGGCTCCCGCGAAGAACACCATGCTCATGGTGGTGGTCGTCTTGGACAGCCCCTTCGAGGCAGGGTCGCCGTCTGGGGCACCGGCCGCTGGGCTGGAGGGCGAGAGGGAGACCCAGACCTCTCCAGGGGCTCGACAGTATCGAGCCTGAGGTGTTTGGTGCTCTTTCGCATCGTTGGCCTCCGGCGGCCAGCTTCCGACCCCGGGACTGTCAGAAAGTGGCTCAGGACGGACATCGCTCCCAGGGGAAGGGTCAAGAGGTCTCGGGCGCCAAGGCTCGAAAACGTCGAGTCGTCGGAGGTCTAGGGGAAGAGGGGAGCGCATCGCAGACGACACCCGAAGGAAAAGGAGGAGGAGAAGAAGGAGGGGGGGTAAGGCGGAAAAGGCGGAGGGGAACAGAAGAGAACAGAGAACCTCGCGGAGTCCTGATCGTGCCTCCTGCAGCGCCATATCGCTGCGTTCACCACGCCCTGCAACTCGGGTCGCACAAGGACCACAGCGCAGAGTCGACGACCCAAACGTCTGGAGCCCGTTCTCCTTTTTCGCGATAACGCCCGTGGCCGGCCCCGCCCCTCCCCTCCTCCCCCCCAGGTCGCGCCACGAGCGGCGCCGTGCCGTCTGGGAATTAGCCATTCCACGGCCTTCGCAGACGGCGCCGCCGCGGATCGTGACGGCACCGGCCCCCTCCCCCCCCCCCCCCCCAGGTACAAAGCCCGTCATCGCCAGAGGGGAAGAAAATGGTCTCGAAGACCGAGGCGGCCGTTTTGC